TTAAACCAAAATAGAAACAAACTCCCAAATTCCAACTTAAAAATATATAAAACTAGTTAATACTTTTGTTAAGATGATTTGAAAATAAAACGCAATATAGGGGTTTGGAAATTTGAGGAAAAAAGAAACTACTATAATTGGTAGAAGAGAGAGAAAAAGTAAAAAAAACAAAAGAGAAAAAAAAATAATTAACGCCATTTGAACGGAATAATTAACGCCGTTTGTATGGATTTAACGGAAGAGATTTCATTGATACAAATTTTATTATTAAGTGAGGACGTAATTGACACACCTTTTAAAGGATAGACTAATTTGACATTTTCGAGCGCGAAACTGAGACAAAATAGGATATTAAGCCATTATTTGAATGTGAAAACAATTTTTGGTTTATAATATGACATGTGAATGGTTGAAAACCAATCAAAGTAAGAATTTGTGGTGATGTTCTTAGTGTATGTTTTCATATGTGGGGATTCTGAAAGTAGGTATTCTAATATACTATCAACCATTCAATTCATATGTAGATAAATTAGACTCTGAGAAAAATGACAAAAAGTCTCTACTCTAGACTTTGGGTCTTATGTATGAAAGATGTGTGAAAGATTAACCTCATAGTAATAAGATAATAACTCATACATTTATGACTATACAAAATATAAATCAATCCACACAAATATTATATACACATTGTATATGATTAATTAAGATTAGAGTGAATCGCTAATATATTTATATGATTGATAAAATGTTATAAATATTCAACTGTAATATTAATATGTAATATTAAATTGTTTATGATTTTTTTTTAAAATACCAGCTTATCATGTCTTGAGTAAAGTAGATATTTGTTGTTGATTGAACTTAGTGATATTGTCGAATAATTGGTCATGCTGACTCTTAATATATATATATATATATATATATATATTAAGATGATATAATTATTATTGTGAATAATTAGATGTATATTTTATATGTTTCTTCCATATCTTTATATAATATTTTATATTATTAAAATATTATAAGATACATTGAAATTCTACTGTATTAATAATCTAACAATAATAACTTCAATAAATAGGTTTCAAATTTAAAACATAAAATCGAATTCCACAAGAGACATCCTTAACCTAGAGACATATATGTTTAAAAATAATCGTAATGCTGAACCCAGATTCCACAAAAAGGCATACATCAACCTAATTAGATAGGTTTCAAAAGTAATAAGAGAGAAACAAACATCACTGACAAACACAAGTGAATGCAGGTTTCAATGGTAACTTTAAACAGAATATTCTTCTTATCAATCAACACAAAGCGACAAAGATCTCCATCCATCAATTTACATCCTCTAATAAAATCAGACCAACCTTTGGTGAATCTCCAGCGATAATCTGTCTTCACAGTCCATGATATCTCCCCAACTTCCAAGGTAGCTTCTGAATTATTAAGAATACCATTATTTTCGCAGTAACGGTTAGGTTATGAGTCGTTCAGGACAACCACACAGTTAAAATAGAAAAGAAAAAGTACTGATAATAGATAAAAATGGAAATTTTATATTAGTGGAAGAAATTTACAGCATCTCTCTTTCACTAAAGAACTTTTTTAAATTAAGAATATAAAAAAGAAGAAAATGGAAAAGGTGGCAAAGGGTTTCTTTTATAACCACCAAGTCATACCTCTTTACAAGTTCCCACCAACGTGGGACTTCATTCCTCACAATCTTCCATGTGAAGATTTTGATGAAACTAATCAAATCTTCGCACCATCTTTGACTTCGTGTTGCTTGTTCTTCTGATAAACTTCAGTAGAATCGAATTAACATAAATCTGTCAATAACCTTTGACACCTAATTCTGATTATCTGAAACGCAATGCAACACATGATCAATATTTTACTGCTCTCCACCTAAACCTACCACGAACATATTAACCACTCTCACTGCTTGTGCAATGTCTGGTCTTGTACGCATCATAGCAATTATAAGGTTGTCCACCATCGATGCATACGGTACTCGAGACTTCTCCATCCTCTCCGCTTCACTGCTTGGACTCATACTTGAGGATAATTGATAGGAGATGTGGTAAAACTAGCTTCCACTCTTGCATGTTGAAGCGCCGAGAGACTTTCAGTAAGTTTTACTTTTGAAAAAGCCAAATCTTCCTATCTTTTTCTGTCTCGGTGAATTTACATCCTAAAATCTTGTTTATCGGTTCCAAGTCTTTTAATATCAAACTCCCTAGCCAATTATGCCTTCAGTTCTTGGATTAGAGCTTTGTTGGGGCCTACCACCAACATGTCATCCACATACAACAACAAAATGATAAAATCATTATCCTCAAACCTCTTGTAATATGTACAATGGTGTATGAACTTAGTTTTGTATATTTCTTCTATATTTTTTTGTGCATTATTAGAATATATAATATTTTATTTATTAGTTTATACTATTAAAATATTATAAGATACATGGAAATTCTACTCAATCCAACAATAACTACAATAAATGGGTTTCAAATTTAAAGCATATAAAACCGGAATACAGTAATACAAATTTCACAAAAGACATACCTTAACCTAGAGACATACAGGCTTCAAAATAACCTTAATGCTGAACCCAAATTCCACAAAAACACATACATTAACCTAACTGGATAAGTTTCAAAAGTAATAAGAGAGAAACAAACATCAAGGACAAACATCAGTCAATGCAGGTTTTGAATGGTAACTTTAAACACAATATTCTTCTTATCAATCAACACAAAGCGACAAAGATCTCCTGAGAATCTATCCAAGATATCTCCCCAACTTTCAAAGTAGCTTCTGAGTCATTCTCCGAAGTGTGGCTTCATCAATTTTCTTGAAGAAGTGAATGGCACTACCATCTCCAGAAGACATTGTTCGACAATGAACTGGGATTTGGACCGATCAAAGTATCACCACAGTTCATATGTTAGAAAGATCAGGATGTCTTTTAAATTATGATTCATAGAATATAACTGTTCACCTTTCATTAATTATCTTTTTGTATTTTAAATAATAACTCGTATTTTATTTTAACAAAATTTATACTAACAATATTTTATTTTAAATTACATTTTAAACACAAGGATAAAATTACAATGTTACAATTTTATCAATTAAAATATTTTCAATTCATTTCATTTAAAACATATTTATTGATTGCAAATTTCATACTTCTACCAAATATCTAAACTTAATTAAATTGTTACAAAAGAATTTTATCTCGACAGAATGCAGATATATAAAGAAAACATTACTCTACTTTTAATAAATTATTAAGAAATTTAATTCATTTACTACAGTGATACTTTATTTTTCCAAACCCTTCGATATACTATTTAATGAAATTAATATAGTTCAATTTAAACAAAGTCAGTAAAAAAACAGTTTAAATATATTGTGATCTTTTAAATGCAAAATTGAGATTTGTTATCTACTTAAAAACTGATATATTTTTATTTTCTTGAAAAACGAATTAACCCAATAAGAATAACGTTTCTGATATTTTAAATGAAACATATAAATAGAAACTAATTACAATATTAAAAATTAAAAATTAAAAATTAAAAACTAAAATTATATTTATTTCTTAATAAAAATTTATTGTTTAGAAAATTATGTTTTAGATATGACAGTGTTTTAATTAATGAGACTAAATTATTTTAATATTAGAAGTTTAAAAATATAAATAAAATTTTCAATTTCATTATTTAAAAACATTTTATTTTTCTAAAATTATCTGTTAGGAGTTTTTTACCTTTTTTTTTATAAGTTTTTTAATTTTCTATTCATATATTTAAAGATCAAAGACTAGTGAACGATTCTTGAGGCAATCTTCGAGTCTGTTATATCGGTTTTTTTGAAAGAGTAAGTTCATTTATGTTTTCCAGTTCGTGTGTTTTTTCATGCATATGAATTGTTCTAATCGCGGTTGGAACTTTGACAAGCGTACCAAATCGTTCAAGTAATAAAATTGGTAAGTTCGGTTATTGTTTTCCTTAGAAATTTGTTTGGTTTGCTAGCTGTGAAAGTTTACTAATTTAGCGTCAAATATGATTTTCAAATGTATTTTTCTACACAATACAGGTTAAAATTAAGATTTACAAAGTGGTAAAAAACGAGAATAGGTTGATTGGGGTTAAATTTCAAAACTGAGTGCTCTTTACTATCAAATATAATTCCTCAAGAATCATGCATCAACATGTAAGCACACAAGTCTCCAATTCTTCTATGACAAGCTCTAAATCTTTTTACAAAACTCTAATTCCTTACATGTTTTAGAACTCAGATTGCATTAAGACCAATGTTATTGATGTCCAAAAGTCCTCCATCTATATCTAAAATTAAGTTCTGTTGGTTGTTCTGCTTAGGTCCGTGGTCCTAGCATTTTCCAATGATTCAAATCACTGTAATAACTCAGATTTCCATCATTAAGCATGAATTATAAGGATAGAACAAAAGATTCATCAAAGATTAACATTAAACAGCAAATTTTACATAGAGTTTTGATACATTACTTTCAACCCAAATGAAATAGAATTTTAGCTACTCCTAAACATCATGGAAGTAACATGGAAGAAAATGGATGGATTGGATGATGAGAAATGGTGTTCTCGCGCCTTTGAACCCTCCAAACTCGAGCTGGGAGCCTCAGCATAATAATTTATCTGTGACCAATAAAATAGGTGCATGGAGAAGACTTCAACGTGAAGTCCTCGAACACTCTTGAGATAACGTGAAACCAAATAGGATGAGGCTGTGGTTGGAGTGTCTTTGGGCCTCTCGTTAGGATAATACCAAAATTCCAGTTCTGTATCCTTTCCATTTTTATTAATTTTATATAACTTTCACTTATGAATTCTATTTTATTACCCAATAGTGAGAAAGAATCTTATTTTTCCTGTAAATCAGATGTAAATTAAGAATAAAAAATTAGAGAAAAGCATACAACAAATAACAAAAAACACACCTGTTAAATAAAGTTTCATTAATGTCAAATTCCTTAAAGAAAACATAGATTAAACTAGATAGGTTTCAAAAGTAATATAGAGAGAGAAACATCACTCCATGCATGTTACAATGGTAACTTCAAACACAATCTTTTTCTTATCCATCAGCTCGAATCGACAAACATCTCCAGGCTTCAATTGACACCCTCTAATAAATTCACACCACCCAACGGTGAATCTACAGTAAGGGTCTAGTTTCACATCCCATGATTTCTTCCCAACTTCCAGCATCACTGCATTCGAATGACGAATACCATGATTTTTAAAGAAATCCCTTGGAAGATTCTGCATAATACACACTGAACCTAATCAGTCACATGATCAAAAACATGTTTGCATTTCTGAAACTCCTATCTAATTAATCCTACCACATAATATAAATCCATAGGTTTGAGGCAGACACTGAAGTGATTCTCCAACTCCCTTTCTTTGCATTCAGGAATTGAATGATCTAAAACGATAAAAACAAATCAAAAGGTGAAGAAACATAGCATGTTACAGTTGTAAGTGGTAAGCACTGTTTAACAAACACCAATAACCTGAAAACCTAGGAGAACTTGATTCTTCTGTGTCTCTAAAAATTATAACTTTGAATGAAATTCCCGATTTCTTGATTTTCTCAAAAACACATACATCCCCTAGTCGCAAGTTATTATCCTTTACAAAATTCTTCCATCCAGTAGTAAAATTTATTTGGCTACTGCTATTATTCCGACAAAATTCAACATGCCAAGGTCTGCTTTCAGAAGTCCAAAGAGTAACACGGTCATGCACATCTTCTTCAGCTTCTGTTATGAAACTACTCGGCACCCGCTGTGTTAAATTAAAAATAAATAACATCAACTACAAATTAATTACTTTAAATATGATTTGATTGTTTGGGAGAAGGGTACCATGTTATGTCTTTGAATATATGATGGTTGCATTTTACGAATGAAGAAGGGATTCTTAGAGCGGAAAGATTCCGCTCTCTCCATAGCAGTGCCACTTCTAGTTGAAAAATTACAGGCAGAGGGTTTTCTTTTTGTACCTGTTGAAACATTAGAGTGAAAAGAAAATAACAAAGGGTTACAGGATCTTCAAGATTTTGAAAAAGAACAGAAAAAAAACAAAGATCCAACATTTCACCTCTTTTTTGGAATTTTGTACTATGAAAACCATTTGCATTTTGTTCGTCTAACTCCTCCTTGATGCTATGAGATGGACCACTTCTATTTGTAACATCTTCAGAGATATTAGGTGGGTTTCTACAGTTGGTTTTCACCTTCTTGCTAAAACGACAACGTGGTAAAGAAGATTTTGTCTTCTTGAAGTGTAGTGAAGAATTACCATTACCATTCTCTGCATTATCTAAAGTTGCTTCCTTTAAAGGGTACATAATTTCCAAGCCAGTTTGATGAAGTATGGTCACCTCAAACCGAGACATACCCACATATTTGAACATTAAGAGATCATTTTCGTCCAAAGAATAAAATTCTGCAAATTTCTTCCATTTATCAAATAACCAAATGTCAGCACCAACTTTTCTCCACTTCACTTCCCATTCAGCACCTTTGGGAAGAAGAAGATGCAGTGGATTTGATATATCTTGCCAGTATTTACTCACAAAACTCCGAGGTATTCTCTATCATGAAATATTCAACAGAGTCAATAACAACAGCATAATATTAAATGGAAAATAAGAGTCATTCACCCCTTCAAAATCTTGACTGAAAAAGATACTTGATAAATGGAAGATTTTAAAAAAGAATGAATGAACAAGTACCAGATCCCCATTTCGAAGTGTGTCTTCATCAATTTTCTTGAAGAAGTGAATGGCACTACCATCACCAGAAGACATTGTTCGACAATGAACTAGGATTTCGACTATTCAAAGTATCACCTTTCATATGATACAAGGTTTAGGATGTATAATAAATTATGATTTATAGAACAATAAATGAATATAACTGTTCACTATGCAAATTCTTTAATGATGATTCCTTGGAAAGGGAAAAGGACTATATTCTTAGTTGACTGTTGACTATATATATACCTGTATCAAACAGTATTATTTTGTAACTGAGTTTTTTTACTTTTTACTATTAATGAATTCTGATCACGTCACGTTGAAAATTTGTAGACTAAAATAAGTTTTTTTTTTTAATATTTAGTTCTACACATGTTATCTTCCATATTAAATATAAAATTTTTAGGGCTATTCAATACCACGGTGGTCTTTTTCTTTATCTTATGTACGTGTATAATTTCTAATAATTCATCATTCATTTACGAAAAAAAGAGGTTGATGATGTTATCAAGTAATTGGTTAGGTTTAACTAAATGTTGCATAGTAATTTTTATCCTTTGAGAGACTTATTAGTTCGTTAAGACCTTATATATATATATATATATATTGTGCATTATTAAAATATATAATGTTATGTTTAATTATTTATATTAGTTTAATAGTTTAAATTAGATTGGACGTTATACAATACCTAGAAATTCTACTCTATTAATAATCTAACAATAACTTCAATAAATGTGTTTCAAATTTAAAGGGTTTAATCTTATTTTCACCCATAATTTTAAATAGGTCCCTTTCTTTTTCGGTATCTCAATTGAATCCTTATTTTTGTAAAATTGAATCAAATAGGACCTTTCTGTCAAATTGAAATGACGCTGTTAAGAAGAATATGTTGGCAGTGTCAGCATACCTTCTTAACGGCGTCATTTCAATTTGACAGAAAGATCTTATTTAATTCAATTTTACAAAAATAAGAACTCAATTGAGATTCCGAAAAAGAAAAAAACTTATTTAAAATTCTGAATAAAATTAGAGACCTATTAAAACATTAAACCAATTTAAAACATACAAAATCGAAATTCAGTAATAAGACAAATTCCACAAGAGACATCCCTTGACCTAGAGACATATAGGTTTCAAAATAACCGTAATCCTGAACCCAAATTCCAAAAAAAAAAAACATACATTAACCTAATTAGATAGGTTTCAAAAAGTAATAAGAAAGAAACAAACATCAAACATCAATGACAAACATCGGTCAATGCAGGTTTCAATGGTAACTTTAGACACAATATTCTTCGTATCAATCAACTCAAAGCGACAAAAATCTGCATCCAGCGAGAATCTAACTTCACATTCCATGATATCTCCCCAACATCCAGGGTCACTGCTTCTTAATTATTACTAATACCATTATTTTCGAAGAAACTCCTTCCTTTGCATAATATACACTCAACCTAATGAGTCACATCACTCAACATGTTTGCATTTCTAAAACACCCTTCTAATTAATAATAAAACAACCTTCTAATTAATTACAAGAATAATAATAAAAATAATGATATTTGACAATATTTTTTTGATAATATTTTTTTGACAACATTTTCTTGATAATATTTTAACACCATCTATAATTATTATTATTGATTATGAAGTAATTTTAAACCAATCACATAACGACACACGTAAATGATATTAAAATATTGTCAAAAAATTATTGTCAAAAGAATATTGTCAAAATATATATTATCCTAATAATAATCATACCAAAGAAGGCAAATACCGAGGATTCATGCAGACACTGAAGTAATTCAATAATACCCTGTGGTTGAGTTCAGAAATTGTATGATCTAAAAATTAAAAACAAATCAAAAGGTCAAAAAATATGAAGAAACATAGCATGCTACAGTTATAACTAGTAAGCACTACTTAAGAAATACCAACAACATGAAAACTTCAGAGAACTTGATTCTTCTCTGTCTCTAAAGTGAAACAAAAAGAACAAAGGGTGATAGTATCTTCAAGGTTTTTCTACAAATTCTTCAGCAAGAACACAGCTTCATGTAGGGAAACCATTGATCGCTTTTGAAAATATGAACTTTAAAAACACAATCATCTTTGCTAATCAGTTCAAATACACAAACATCTCCCGGTTGCACTTCACTCTCTGTCAAAAACAAGTGAATGCCAGCACCGAAACTATGATGAGCAAAACAACTGTTATTAAATAACAACTTTACTTTCCATGATATTTCCCCAAGCTGCAGCACCGCACACTTGTTTCCAATAATGTCTTTCAGATCTGGTACGCACTGCATAAGGTATATTTTTATTGCAAGAGTTTGAATGTAGAGCAGAATCAAAAACTAAATCAAGATGTGTTTCATGTTGAAGATTTACCCACCAGCCAATATTCTATCGCATGTTTGATCAAAGCAGTGAAAAAGGGATTGCAAGAAACAAAATTGCATGCTACTTCTCTTGCTCTAGTTTGATTAGGCTGGTTCAAAGATGAAGTTCTCTGTACAGACGTCTCACCTGTAATTCAAAGCCTAAACCAGTCAACGACAATCTTGAAATTTTGTGACATGACATGCTTGGTGGATTCAACTCTCGCTATCAGACATCATCAACATAAAATTCTGATCCACATAATACAACAAATATAAAGATAACAAGCAAACAAACAATGAATCCTTTCCTCCTATTTGTTCAGGGCTCTCTTCTTGATCCAAAATTATGATGGGTTCCTCCTCATTTTGATCGAGATTATCATTTCCATCACCACTGCCACAGGGATAGTTTATTTCCACTGCACTTTGGTCGTCGCATATGTTTAAACGAATCTGAGAAGTACCTTCATATTTAAAGAAAACAAAATGTCCATGGTCTAAGGAATAATATTCCACAAATTCCTTCCATCCATTTCTCAGCCATATCTCCCCATTGTCTTTTTCCCAATTCACTTTCCATTCAGTTCCATTTGGAACCTTTATGAACAAGGGATTTGGCAAGCCATCTCCATATTTGGCAGTGAATCTGTTTGGTATTTTCTGCAAAAGGAAATTGGTGGTTAGTGTGTAATAATGCTCATAAATCTTTATTAGTTACACATATAGATATAAGCCATAAGAATGCTTACAAGCCTTTGAAGGTTGGCTTTAAGAATAACTTTGAAGAATAGAATTGGCAGGGTAGCATCCCTCTCGATACACTGAGAAGACATGCGTATAGTTGGAATATATGTAGGTTAATAAAACAAAAATGATCAGAGTGAAACAACTTATTTGATGACAATAGAAGCTAATAGAGCATTAAAAAGAACAAAACCTATGAATGAGGAACCCAAATGTATTGCACAGAATTTATAAAGGCAAAGATGGAGAAATCTTACCTTCTCCATAAACTACTTCAGATTAAAGAAAAAACATGTCAAGGAATGAGTTGTATAGATTTAGATCACCGGTGAGGGCCAAAACGCACGAAGCACCTTCCTTTCCTTCCCCTCCGATACGCAAATCAAAGATGAAACCGAGTCGTCGTGATCGCGTCACCTCTACTATGAATCCACACTCGCAGCCGGCGATGTCGCCGAAGATTATCTTCTTATTTGTACTGTGCTGTGTTAGGTGTGACTCTTGGGGATTTTTAGCGGTTGGTGGGAGAAGTCCAACAAGAACTGTGCTTTTTTTGTTTTTCAGATGAGGGGATGCGGCAAGGCCATGTTTATGTTGCTGGAGTTGGTTCTTTCTTAGAAGAGAGAAAGATCGAGCAAAACCCTTCTTCTGATGGGGATGCTATGGAGGCAATGCAGCAAAGAAAACGAAAATAGCATGGAAAAACATGTATTCGTATCGTATACACAAGGGTAAATGAGACTAGCAAGCTAACCATCACAGCTAAACATTGATTCATACACAGAATCAAATAAGTTAACTAAGCTGGAATAGAAGACTCACCTTGAAAAACTGATTTTTTGTTTGGTTTTCTTCCTGGGGTTGTGGGTTTGGATTGTTTTCTTTGTCTCTTGTAGGTGAAAGGTAGCTGTGGTAACAGGGGATGGATGATGGTTGAAGTTAGAGGTGAGGGGAGTCAAAGGTTGGAATTGAGTGAATGCAGATGGTGAAGGTGATATCAGATGAATGAATGGAGGAATGGAGAGTAACGTGATATCTCATTCAATTTTTTTGTGTGATCCATGTATCTGTAACCTGCAACTCTTACTGCAATCCAGCAACCCTACTTCCTGCTCCATTGTTCCTTGCAGTCCTATTTTCCTCTTACGGCATCCAGCTGAAGATAATGCAGGCCTATGCACAGCTGAGTCCATCCAAATATAGTTGATACTCTTGACAGGAAAAAGATTTGAAACCAAAAACTTATAGTATTGGTTCCGGCAACAGAGTCCTGCAATCTGTGTGATCATTTTTTTGTTTTTTTTTTGTCATACGTTTTCATTTTCTTCTTAAAAAAGATTAAAAGTTTAAATAAAGAAAAATAAACTAATATAAAATAAAATCAAAATAATAACATAAATTAAAATAAAAATGGAATAAAATAATATAATATAACGAAATATAATAAAGTAAAATAAAATTAAATTAAAGTAATGAAATAAAATAAGGTAAAAAAGAAATAAAAAATAATAAAAATATCTTGTTATTTAATCATCTCGGGTGTTGAAAATACTATTATTCTCACTTTCTTTTGTCAAAATTAAGTCTTATTTTTCTGATCTTTAAAGTCACTTAAAGTGAAATAGAGTTGGAATACAATTCACTCTTAAAACTAAATTAGTTTAATTTTAATATATTTTTAATGGAATACTAAATTAGTTTAATTTTAATATATTTTTAAAGATATATTTTAAATACATAATATTATTATTTTGAAAATTTAAAAATATAATATAGGTTGAGTTTATTTAAGCTTAAAAAATAAGATAGTTTTAAAGAAAAATATGTATTTAAAGTAAGTTCTTTTTTATTATTTTAAAATTTGGGTAAAATTGCAAAAACACATTTTTATCGTGTTCTTCTTGTATTTAAAACTTTTATGAATTTATTTTAATAAACTATTTAAAATATATTATATATAAATCAGTTTTTAATTTATTTTTAGTTTTGACATTTTAATATAATAAACATGTTTCGGTTTAAAAAGAAATATTTTTTCTCAAAACAATCATCAATTAAAATAAATTAAATAAGTTATTATTTTTATAAAATAGTGTTAATATAACATAAACTTTTTTATATCAAAATTGAATAAAAATATACACAAATTTATAAACTTTAGAAAAATAAGAAACTAGATATTAATATAGTTTCATAATTTGATTAAAAAACGCATTACTTATAAATATAATTAAGTTAATACATTTAAAAAACGAAGCCGATTCAACGTATAACAAGACGAAAAATGGAATCAGCAGTGACCGATTCCAATCACAATATAACTGATTCCAACATACCGGAAACTGATTCAAAAAATTTAAAATCCATTTCGTGAGACATTATATTATTTTATTTATTTATCTTTTCCATCACCAGTGCCACAGGGATAGTCTATTTCGACTCCACTTTGGTCACATATGTATACACGAACCTCGGATGTTCCTTCGTATTTAAAGAAAACAAAATGTCCATGGTCTAAGGAATAATGTTCCACAAATTCCTTCCATCCCTCTCTCAGCCAAATCTCACCGCTGTCTTTTTCCCAAATCACTTTCCATTCAGTTCCATTTGGAAGCTTCATGAACAGAGGATTTGGCAAACCACCTCCATAATTAGCAGTGAATATGTTTGGTATTTTCTGCAAAAGGAAATTGGTGGTCAGTGTCTTATAATCTTCATAAATCTCTGTTAGTACTCATATAGATATAAACCATAAGAATGCTTACAATGCTTTGAAGATTGGTTTTAAGAATAACTTTGAAGAAGGAGATTGGCAGGGTAGCATTCCTCTGGGTACACTGAGAAGCCATGCGTGTAGTTGGAATATATGTAAGCTAATAAAACAAAAACTATAAGAGTGAAACAACTTATTTTATGGCAGTAGAAGCTAACAGAGTATCAAAAAGAACAAAACCTATGAATGAGAAACCAGAATGTATTGACAGAACTTATAAAGAAAGAGATTGAGAAATCTTACATTCTACATAAACTACTTTGAGACACTAAAACAAAATCACCCTTTCTCCTCTCTCAGCAGTTGTGGTTGTGCTCTTGTTTCTCTGTTCTCGTTTGCTTCTTCTATATCTCCCTTTACTCTCTTCACATCCTCTTCCAAAAGAAAAAAGCAAAGCTACCTCTTTAATAATCCAAAACCTTAACTTGAAAAATAAATGTCCTTACCAACCAGCTCAAAATTACAGACATAGCATTCGATTTGCATTGACCCATGAGACCAACAGAAAGATAATTTATGGTATTTTTCTTCCCAACATTTATTCCCAATGCTCAAAAGTATCCTCTGTCATTGTCAATTCGTATTCCGTAATTTGATGTTCACATGATCACAAATTAAAACGGAAACTGGCATCACTGTATTTTTCGATTCTCTTCAAGAAGTGGATATGGTGTGAAGTCATCCTTTAGGAAATAAAACAGAGTTGGTTGTCTAAATTGTTTGGGTTCCTTGTTTTGGCTCCTGTGCTCATCTTACAAGATCAAAATCAATTTTCTATAAATACTTATGTAATAATTATGGCACAATTAATGTTTACTCTGCATATTTTAACAATATTTATTTTTATGTGTTATTTTCTGATTGGTTCACATTGATGTTGTGTTATTCTGATTGATTTATATTAGTGTTTATTATTATTATTATTGATTGTGGAGTAATTTTGGACTAATTATTAAAATAACACATAAATAATATTAAAATGTTGTTAAAATATCATTATCTTTTTATAACTTGATGGTACAAAATTCTATCTGCATGAATGAAAGCATAATTTGAGTTGGATGATTATGAAATCTGTTAAGATTAAGTTTTATTTTTCTGGTTTAACTGGTTTAAGACCATACTGACCTAAAAATTAAATAAATTTAGTTTTAATATATTTTTAATTACTTTTTTCATTTATTTTGTCGTTTTTATCCATTAATTTTCATATAATATTTTATTAATATCATTTTTTCTTTTCTATTCCAAAATTTTTTATGCAATGTTAAATATGAAAAAAATTATAGTTTAAGAATTTTATGATATAAGATTAAGATTTGATTATCTAATAAAAAAGATAATTTTAATAGAAAATTGTGTAATGATTATTTTGTATAAATTTTAAAAATAAAAGTTAATTTATATTTGTGTTTAATTTATTGTTTTTAAAAAATATATAAATACTGGTTTTATAAAAAAATTATTTAAAATAATTTTTTAATTGTAATCATATTTTAGATAAGTAATTTTATTTTGTTAGAATTTGTTTAAGCTTAAAATAAGACCATTTGAAAAAGAAAATATATTCAAATAAATCATTGTTTTATAAGTTGAGAATTTGGATATAGTCATAAAAAATTCAGAATTTGGATATAATTGTAATAATATTATTGTGTTTTTAAAGTTTTTATGAATTTATTTTGATAAACTATTTAAAAAATATTATATATAAATTAATTTTTATCTTATTTTTGGTTTTGATCTCTAAAATATAAAAAGCATGTTTTAATCTTCTCAGAAGAATCATCCAAAAAAAAATTAAATAAGTTATTGTTTTTATATTTTCCTATATTAAAATTAAATAAAAATACATACAATTTTATAGAATTTAAATTAATAAAAAATTATATATTAATATAATACATAATTTGATTGAAAAGGTGTAAATATAATTAAATAACAACATCAATAAATAAATATATTAACTTAATCAGAAAATTTTTAAGATAAAACGAATTTGACAGATAGCAAGATAAAAAATGAAATCGATTCTAGAAAAACTTATAACCAATTCCAATTTATTAAAACATTTTTTAACATATTAAATTAAATAAATTTCTGATAAATTTTTACAAACTTTATTTTTAAATTTATTTTCTATCTCGTCCAGAGTTTTCTTTATCATTTTCCATAAAAAAACATAATAATCTTTCTCTTTTTTTTGTGTCACGTGACTCAATTATAAATATAGACGGGTTTTACAATTTCTTTTTGTGTATGGCTGTCGTTTCTGATTCTTCAAAATATGTAATTCCATCTCTTTCTTTGCTTCTAACTTCTCAGAACCAAACACAACCGTTACTTCCACATTTAATATTTATCTTCTCAACAGTTGTGCGGTAACTTTTCTCCTTCATTACTGCTTTTGAAACAGCTTAATGTTAGCCTATTCCTCTTAGTTTTATTTATTCATTTTTCCTTTATACTCACAGCACGATGATAGAACATCAAAAAAACTTAGATGAGAAAGATAAATACTCAGTGATTAATTAGCAATATAAAAATTAGAACTTTAACGAATGAGTTTTTCCACTTTGCTCTTCTGTAAATCTGATTCAATCTAAATTTTTAATACAAAACTCTTTTTTAATTCCACATGTGATTAGTGAAAACACTGTCCATACCACGTAACGCACAATTAAACCGCCGTTTGTTCAATTTGACGGCAGACCTTTAATTGCTCCAATTTTACAAAAATGAGGACCCAACGGCAGAAAGAAAGGGGACTTAAATGAGATTTCGGACCAAAATAAGGATCTACAGAGACATTAAACCTATAGATATGATATCTTAACAACTTTTCCAACACAGGACACTTGTCACCATTTTATTGATTTATTTGAATTTATTTTTAAAAGACTATTTGAAACGGACTAATCACAAGTAATCATCTATGCCTTGTAAAACAAATTATTAAAAGAACTTTTTCCTTATATATATATAAAATAGAATAATAATACTTTAACAATATTTTTTTGACAACATTTTAACATTATTTATATGTCATTATGTGATTGGTCTAAAACTACTTAAGACTCAATAACAATAATCATAAACAACCAATCACATAATGAAAAATTACTCCACATTCCCTTTTTCTGCTATATGCTATGTTAAGAAAACAAAAATTACATAGTGAAACAACTTATTTTAAATAGTGGCTAATAGAACATTAAAAAGAACCAAACCTAATCTCGCCATGTGATGATCAATGTATGATTCAAAGAATTTTAGAGGATGTGTAACAGCAACCTATGAATGAGGAATCAGAACGTGTAGTATAGATCTTATAAAGGCGGCAAAGGTGTATAAATAACTATTAATAGAGATTTATGAGCATTATTACACACTAACTACTAATGTTTCCTTTTATATTGAAATCACAACCTTCAACAAAATGACGAGGAACTAACATGATTTTGAATGAAGGATCAGAACAAAACCCTGAACAGATGGTAAGGATCGATTCATCATTTGTTTGTTTGTTATCTTTATAATTTTTTTGTATTATGTGCATCAGAATTCTATTTTGATAAGTATGTAATATTATTATTAAAAATTAAAATGTATGTTATTATTGAATTATATTTTGTGTAATTTAATCATGTTTAATTAAAAAAGCATGAGCATGTGCCTCCCTCTTCCCCAGACTCAAGTGATCGAATTTCACTGACTATGCGTGCTGTCATAAGTAGTGACTGTACGTATTTTGTATTCTCGATAATTATGATTATCTGCATCTTTGACTCTATTCCGATGCATCCTCCACCGTCTATCTTATTTAGATGTGTTGTCGTCATAAGTAATAGTGGTTATTTATATGTTTTTATATTGGTTAAGCTAAAAAAACATATTTAAATTATGTTCAATAGCTATTGAAAATTGAGATTAAAATTAATTTAGGTACATTTTTTAAAATTTTGAAAAAAATTAAAAATAAAATTGTGATAAAATTATGAAATCTTATATCAATAATTTCTTAAATCAGAACAACTTTTTTCTATTTGTATGAATTTATTCTCCCAGCAATATGGTCACAAAAAGAGTGGCGCCAATTGTATTTTCATAAAAGTATATGTGTAATCAATTTTTTCGGAAACCGTGGTGGCAGTTATTTATGATCAATTATAACATAAAAAAAAGAAGTTAAATCTTAAAATATATATTTCTCCAATAATTATATGAATATAACTTAAGCAGATCAATTTTATTTTATATATATTTATTTATTAGTTTTAAATTAGTGGCTGATTTAAAAATTTTCGATCACTTAAAAATATTATATAAATTGGAATAAAGTTAACATTAAGTGAATGTTAACACAGTATTATTTACTTTTTCATTGTAAAATAAATATTAATAAAATAAATTAAAACTTTATAAAAGTATGAATTTACATTAAAAATTCAATTATTTAAAACTTCCATAATTTTGTGAAATATTATTAACAAAGAATTTAAATATTAAGTTTTAATTTTATAAACTGGTTATTTAATAATTAATTAATTCGAATTTTAATTTGTATTCGTTTTACTAAGATCAAATTTTTAAAAATACTTTGTATAACGTATTATTATATTATCTTATCAGTTTAACTTTCTTTATCCTATCAATCAAATTTTTTGAACTTCCACAGTATTGCTTTCAATTCGATAAACTTTTTCACCCTCTCTTGTAACTTCCAAGGAATAAAGTTTAGGAGAGTGTGACATAACAGATGCAATAATTTCTCTATTGAAAAGACTTACGAAACCAATAGATTTGATAAATCTGAACCACCTTCACATCAACCATGGCAGCAAGTCAGAGTTTCAATGATGATAACGATGAATGGAGAACACAAACCTAAACATGATCCTGTTTACCATAACTTTCTCTTAAAATATTTCGATCATTAATCACCTAAAGCAAAGCTATATTTTCAATAAAAGTGTAAATTTAACTGATATCAGTTTCTCATAGATGGTTGATTCAATAACAGTAACATTGTTTTAACAGATGGAAAGACCCCATTACAGTAACCTTGCTTCTTTACTACATTTTTTTTCAAATTCTTCAGCAAGAACACAGCTTCATGCAGGGAAATCAGTGATCGCGTTTGAAAACATGAACTTTAAAAACACAATCCTTTGTGCTAATCAGTTCAAATACACAAACATCTCCAGATTGCAATTCACTCTCACTCGAAAATATGTAATAGCCAGCACCGAACCTGTATTGTCGAAAACGTTTGGTACTGTGTAACAACTTTACTTTCCAAGATCTTTCCCCAAGTTGTAGCACCGCACACTTCTTGCTCCCAATAATGTCTTTCAAATCTGGAACGCACTGCATAACATTTTTATTGCAAGAGTCTGAATGTAGAACAGAACCAAAGATTAAATCAAAGTATTCACATTTTTAACTCTACCTACCAGACGATATTGTCTCTCATGACAAGGTTTTATGAAGATGGTGAAGAAGGGATTGCATGAGACGAAATTGGAAGCTATTTGTCGTGCTCTGGTTTGAGTTGGCCAGTTCAAAGATGAAGTTCTTTGAGCATAGTTCTCACCTGTGGAATGCAATTCAAAGCCTCAACCATTAAGAATCTTGAAATTTTTGTGAAATGACATGCTTGGTGGTTTCAACTCTCGCTACACATCATGAACATAAAATCCTTATCCACGTGAAACAGAAAATGTAAAGATAACAAGCAAACAGAAAATGAATCCTTACCCCCTATTTGTTCAGCTTTCTGTTGTGTTTCTTCGTCCAAAATCATGTTGGGTTTGTCCTCAGTTTGAACAAGGTTGTCGTTTTCATCAGCAGTGTCTTCAGTTTGAACAAGGTTGTCATTTTCATCATCTGTGCCACAGAAATAGTCTATTTCTACTGCACTTTGGTCTAATATGATTACATGAATCTGAGATGTTCCTTCATATTTAAAGCAAACTAAATGTCCATGGTCCAGGGAGTAATGTTGCACAAATTCTTTCCAGCCCTTTTCCAGCCAAACCTCACGGTTGTGTTTTGCCCACTTCACTTCCCATTCGGTTCCATTTGAAAGCTTCATAAGCAAAGGATTTGGCAAGCCATCTCCATATTTGCGGGTGAATTTGTTGGGAATTTTCTGCCAAAAGAAAAGAAAAAAAATGTTTGTTAGGGTGTAATTATATATCAATAGCAAATACTTGAACTATCATACAAACATATAGATATGAGGCTAAGAGTGCTTACAAGCCTTTCGAGATTTGTTTTAAGAATAACTTTGAAGAAGAAGATTGGGAGGGTAGCATCCGTCCTGAGAATCTGAGAAGCCATGCAGTGGGAATGTATGTAAGCTAATAAAATGAAAGTGCTAGTTTTCTGATCCTGCTGCATATAAACCCGAGCTACTTTTTTTTTCTCATTTTTTTCGTCTTTTTTATTATTATTTCGATTGTGACAAGACAAAAATATCATAAGTTTATGTAATAATATATTTAAAATTATAATATTTTTAGTTTTATTAATTCTAAAACGTAAATGTTGAAAATGTTATAATGAAACTCAATTATGATTTGTAACTTTGGTTAGGTTTATTTGTGACAACGGACGTGTTGGAAATTTTTCTGGTACATTTTCATCTTTAATATACATAGTCTAATATATATAGAATTTTCGATTTGGGTTGGGTTCATTTATTTGGATCAAGTAAATTGAGGTTTGTTTCTTTTTGCACGTCTCCTCTGTCTGCACTCTTATAAAATCTATAAATATCAAATTATTTTTATTAAAATTATAATAAAAAAAGATAAAAGTTACAATATTTTAAATGCATTATCAAATATATATTATGGAGCATATTTTTATATTTAAAAATCTATATTTAAGAATATATTAAGAAAAATATTTTTGAACGGTATTTTGAAATATGTTTAAAATGTTAAACAAATTTTTGATTAAAAAAATTAAATTTACGTATTTTTAAAATTATTAATTTAAAAATAAACTAATTTTAATTTTATTTAAAATTAAAAAACTAAAAATATATTTAACTCTTTAAAAAAAAAAATTTAGATTGATTGTTTTATAATGTATTTTCAGTTTGACTTATATTGTAACATTTGATCTCTCGGCTTTCACCTAATGCACTCTTTCATCTTCATCACTCTTACCTTTATAGCACATTCTACCACATCTTACATGGTTGGCCTAACAATTTGTCAGTTTAGTTTGACCTCTATTGTTGAAAAATACAATCTCAAACAAGTTTAAGAGAAAGAATTATGTTTTTTCTTCTTTCACCCCATAATTTTTGAACAGAATTAATTATGCCTTTTATTTCTAAATTATAACACGATTTTAGTTTTGATCGAATGTGATTTATTGTCTGACACATCAATTTTATTTTCT